CAGCGTGTCAATTCTATGAAAAACAAAAAAAAACTTTTGGCATTTTGATTGTGTTACATTGGAATCTATTTGGGGAAAAATTCCATTATAACATTTTTTGAGTTCTGAAATCCAGGTTGATGATCTATCTACCTATTTATAGTTATTCCTTGTATTTATATTTTGTGCCTTGGTTTAATGGGTTTACTTAATGGGGGTCTACCTTGGAAGGAGACACTATGGAACATGATAAATCCATCATGTCATTAAGGGCCACTTTATGACATCTCTTGTACGCTACCCTTAAACACCCTTTTCACATGACTGTTATCCCTGTCTGTAAAAACAAGTGTGTTGCTTTTCCCCCTTATATTTTTAAGAAAAAAATTGATATTAGCAATGTCAAAGAAGCCTATAAAACATATATAATAAAGGATAAACATAAGAGGATTCTTATGTTTCCTGAGAAACATTTTTCCAGAGAAAAATACATTATTCTCAGTTATACTTATGGATTTTCTTGGAATTTAGAAATGTAAAAAAATGTGGAATAAAAATTCTTCACAAGGTATAAATAGATAAGAATATTTGGACATAAAAGTATTGAGCTGGGAACAGATTCTTTAGATATTAAATGTTTTGTCATACTGTAATTTAAACTATAAAAATGGCATTAAACAAAAGTGACAAATCAATCAGAAGCAGACTCTTTTATATAAAGGATTATTATTATGTGATTTGTGAGACATCACAAATCAGTGAGAGGTAAATCATACAATAAATCATACAGAGACTGTTGACTAATCAATATCAATAAGTAGATAATCAATGAAAATTTTTTCCCATAACATATCAGAATATATTCAATGCCATTTTTAAAGTAATGAGTTACATAAAACTTTAAACAATAAAAGACCAGGAAAATATAAACAAATATTTATCAAATCTCTGCATGGTTATCTTCTATATTGATAAACAATGAAAGAAATTGCCTTGGCAGCAGTGGTAGATTTCACCATAATTAAATGTTTAAAAAATATGTTGTTCAAAATTAAAACAAATTTATTAGGCAGGTTAAACATTTAAAAAATACTTGCAATATTATAGAGAAAGGGTTAAAATGTTTAATATACATAAGTTACACTTGCATAAGTCATACTTAGATTAAGATACACTAAGATTCCAAATAAGTGGTCAGCAACTTACAGAAGTGAAATTAAAAAAGGTTAAATGACTAAAAACATCTGGGGAAATATTGTTTCACAAGTAAATAACATATCAAAACATCAAGATGATATCTTTATGAACTTATCTAAAATTTAAAAATATAAATAAGCTTATATGAGCAAGAATATTTTCTCAAATACTGCTTGGGGGAGTGTAAATATCATAAAATCCTTTGGAAAGCAATTTTTCAATGTGTATAAAGAACCTTAAAAATATTACTACTTTTCTTTTCTTTTTTTTTTTTTTTTGAGACAGAGTCTCGTTCTTTTGCCCCAACTAGAGTGCAGTGGTGTCATCATAGTTCACTGCAACCTTCAACTCCTGGGCTCAAGTGATCCTCTGGCCTCAGCTAGGAGCTAGGACTCCAGGGCGTGCGCCACCATGCCCAGCTAATTTTTCCTATTTTTTGTAGAGACAGGGTCTCATTCTTGCTCAAGCTGGTCTTGAAATCCTGACCTCAAGTGATCCTCCCCTCTTGGCCTTTCAGAGTGCTAGGATTATAGGCGTGAGCCACTGCATCCAGCCAACTTTTCAGTCACGGATAGAAATTTATCTGAGGAAATAAGGTGAAATGCTATAGAGCCTCATGAATAAAAATATTTCTGGAAATACATACACACATAAAATGAATATGGCTTAAATGGTCAACAGAAAGGGAACTGTTAAATGAATTGAGATGAATGATTATGGAGACATTTAAAATGATGTTTGCAAAGGACACATGTAATTTAAATGAAAAAGAAATTGATAACTATGTATATAGTTTGACCTCAACTCTGCAAACACAACACTTATACTAGAAAGATGAATATAAAAATATAATAGTAAAGGCAGACCAGTCAGCATCCTTCTTTCAATATGGATATAATAGCAAGATGGTATTATGAAAAATTTAATAGATTTACTTCATGGGAGCAGATGTTACTGCTCATCAATATTGATAAGACTTTGATTAAACAATGATGTCCTTTTTGCTATTTGTTGACTGACTTTGGAAAATAGCTACTCAACCTCTTTCAATCTTAGGTTCTTTAGCTCTCATATGTTGTTAGCAAAAATGCTTCACTCTCAAGGTCATACAAAAGACAGAATGGGGTATGTATGTGAAATATGCTTTAAATGGCACATAAATGTTAAAAAATTTTATTAAATAGTTGATAATTACCAAATATCCTAAAGTGCTTACTGGGTCTGTGGCTGAATTTTACCAACAAACTTGATCACACCAGTGACTTCATGGCAATCTTTGAATGATGTTGCTGTATAGAAATACATTTTGAAATCCACCAATGGTAGGTTTGTCCATCAGCATAACATTAAAGATATATTTATATCAGAAAGATATTATACACAGAGCTGTCAGGTTAATATGAAAAGGACTGACTCATTTACAAAAGTATTCAGGTGAAAGATAATGCAAAGGCAAGCTGCCAATATTAAGTGACATGTGAAAATGAAGTTTGGAGTGTGGGACCTAGAAGTTTTGCATCAGGGAAAAATTCTGTGAAGACTCTGGTATAAAGGACAGGAATGACATGTTGAAGGGTGCCATTGAGCAGGCATTTTAACAGTAATTATTTTTAGTCATGTTTAAATGGAATGATTTTTATTGTATAGATGCAACCTGTTATAAAGTGAACCAAACCCAGAAAGGGCAAAAGAAAAATGAATGGTATAATTGTGCTTAATACATTAAAATTAGCTATATAAGTATCCTAGCTTAGTAACAATCAGATGAGAATTACCATGAGTGATTAGATGTGTAGATTATAGTGGGGGTGAAGCATGTACATATGGATACACATAATGATAAAAAGAGCGAATGAAAGTAGGAGTGTTAGTGAAGCCACTGGGGAATGGCAATATTCTTTAAAACCAATGATGTTTGACTTGGTTCTAGGATGAGTTCCCATGCTTTCTGTTGAGTTAATTAACTGGAATTAATATTTCCTTTCTGCAGTCATTCAACTCCCTTTATGGTTCTAATTCTTGCTTACCACAAATGTATCTCATTGCAAGTGTGTGGGTGTGTGTGCATGTGTGCATATGAGTTTTTAAAAAACATTTACACAGAAATCTGCAAGAAACAGTTCCACTTGTATAGCCACACAGTAATGTTTCATTGCTGGGGAAAGAAAATGTAGAGATCGGTGTGGGAAATCTGATTCAGTACAGACCATGATTGTATGTGTCACGTTTAGGTCGACATGTTTAAATATGCCTGGGGAGTCAGACAGCAGTCATACACTTTCTCATTTCATAGCATGCCTCAGTGTGAAGACTGAAAAGATAAATCATTTTTATTAGCAAAGAACTTTTATACTCAGACACTAAACTATGACAGTACAGATGGAGCGATTGCTATTCAGCAAGAGCAAGACAATAGGAGGAATTTAAATGAACTGTGAAAAAAAATTGGAATTGATTGGATGCATACAGAGTAGAGCAATTCTGAAGATGCAGGCCCTGGTGTTATAACAAATATCAAATTATTAAATCAGACTTATGGGAGAGACAAAGAAGAGGGGTATAGATGGTGAGAAACAGACACTTAAAAAGAGATTAAGATGTAGAGTTCAGAGAGAAAAAGAGTCCATGAGAAGAAAGGAGGAGAGCATGTGTGGGTATTGAGAGACACAGGGAAGAGGAAGGCTGAGAGAACGGAAGGGATATAATGACTAAAATGGAATTTCAGAAAAAATGGTGGGGTTGGTTCCTTGAGGAAAAAACCAGATTACAGCCTGATAGTGATTTCTTCACACTCCTGGACCCGATACTGATTTTTCTCACACTCCCAGAGTTATTGCTTCCTAAATTTGGGTTTGGAATTCTAGACTTGAGGTCTATGGGCCTCAGGGAGGTTCACGAACACTGTGAAATTCAATATTACATTTTTGTGGGTATGTGCATAAGTGCAGATACCTTGTGGGGATGGGATCCAGGGCTTTCATCAGACTCTCAAAGGATCCATGACCTTGAATAGGTTAAACTATGAACAAGAGGTTTAAACTTGTGCCCCCTTGTTTCCATTTTGCTAACTGAAAATGCTGGCAGTACACCCAGATCTACTCCTGTGTGCCCATGGGTAACTCTAGTCATGTCATGCTATGTAATGTGTGTGTGTTTGTATACATACATGCACATGCATGCCTGTGTTATAAAACTTCTGGGCCAAAGCATTTTGACTTGGTTTGGAGAGCTGGGGATGGGGCAGGGGGCAGAGAGGAGTGGGAGTAGTGTTTTTGCCCCCGCAGTACCAGAGTGTGGAGGGGTCTGGGCTGTTCATAGGGATCAAAGTCAGTGTGGAGTCATCTGTAGAGACCTCAGAAGGACATTTCACTTGGCTTTGCCTCACTGAGATTCTTCAGTTTAGGAAGAGTCACCAAGGCCTGGTTCTGTTGTTTTTAGAGGATGAAATAAAACGAATGCATTTTTGAATTTGGAGACTCATTCGGCTACTGTTTATAAGGCCTAGGAAGAGATTGAGAAAAATAGCTTCCAGTGGATCACAATTAGTTGTTCAACCTGAAGACCTGTGTGGCATTCAGTGCCACACCATGAAAATTCTCCATCATTCAGAGGACAGTTGTCCATTGTCCATTTTATAGGTTATCCTTTGGTTTTTCTCTATCTCTATTAACTGATATTGGGCAATAACCATACTCCTTTAAGTGAAGAGAAAGGGACAAGATAACCAAACATTTTCAGTCTTTTATTTTTTATTTTAGCATATTATGGGGGTACAAGTGTTAAGGTTACATATATTGCACTTGACACCCCTCCCCCCTCGAGACAGAGCCTCAAGCATGACAATCTCCCAAACGTTGCACGTCTCACTCATTGTGCTTGTTCTTGTTACCAGTCTTGAGAAAATTAGAGTGGTTGAAGCTGCTACTTAAAACGTGGTTCCTGGATTGTTCGTGTATAGGTAAAATCCTATTAGTGATATAATGGACAAGCTAAGGTCTTGTTCAATGTCCCATTTTATGTTGGGTTTTTGCAGCTATAAAAATCTGTCTTTATAGTAAAGTCCTTTACCAGGCAAGCATGTTACATGATTAAAGGCAAAGGTACAATATGCAGAATTTCAGAAGCTACTTTCCTCCCTTTCCTTTTTAAGCAAAGTTTCCTTAAAAGTATAGCAAAAGCAGCAGAACCTCAAATGAAGTATGGGAATTGGGTGAGGGAAAGTAGACAGAGGCCACACCAGGGCCTTAAGTTGATTGCAAATCGATGGACTTGCATTTTATTTATTCTTAGGAAATATATTAGAATATTTTTAAAAATACAGATGATAAAAGAATAGTACAAAATTATACATGTTCCTATCACTGAGAAAGGATAAGTGTTTTAATATTTTGGTAATTTATATACATATATAATAGTTATTTTGTGAATATTTTAAGTACAGATTGGTTTTTACTGTAAACTATGATTTTTTTCAGATTAGATCTTGAGGAAGTTTGATAAAAGCCCATCAGGGATATGGGATGAAGAATGAGCCTAGAACATCCCATGAATGACTTTGTAGCTAATCAGAGAAACAAGACACATGATCCCTGGGATATGGCATGAAGGGACTTACAGGCAAAGTCAGGTGGGGCATGATTTATATGACTTAGAAAGGTCCTGGATCCAGAAATAGAAAAGGTCAAAATACAAGCATTAGTAGTGAGGACAAGGATTTATATTATTTTCCACTTTATTTCACTAAGTTTGAATTGTTATAGACCTTGTGAAAATTGTTTGGATGTACTAATTCTGTAACACGAGCTCTATAGTTTTCACATTTAATGGCGGCTGGCAGGTGAATGTGGAGGTGTTGTAGTTAATGGGTGCTCTGGCAGAGATGATCAGCTCTCTGTTCATGATCAGGGCTTCCACTCCAATACAGTAGTTGTGACTGAGAAGGGCTGGCCCAGGCAATGACTACACTTCCCAGTATTCCTTGCATCTGGATGTAACAATGTTCTAGCCAGTGAAATATGAGCAGAGATGAAATGTGCCACTTCCACATTTGGTCCTCGAAATATCTTACTGGACTTTTAATGCTTTTTTACACTTCAGGCTGGTTAGACTACAGATGCCTTAGGACAGCCAGGAAAGCCACCTATTGAAGACGGCAGAGCTGCTGTCAACCTAGGAATAACTGGGCAGAGAAGGCTGCCAACCTGTCCATCTGCCCAATATTGTCATTTGAGCAAGAAATACACTTTTACTATGTCAGGACCATTATACCTTCTGGGACCATTTGTTACAATACTTTGCACTGACTGATATTAGTATACAGCATAATTTCATTTTAAGAAAAAATATGGGCTTTTACACATATAAAATATTGGAGAGTAATTTATTCAACAGATACTTATTGGATATCTATTAAATGCCAAGCACTGTTCTAGGTGCTGGGGTTAGAGGAATGGATGAGATAAAATCTTGGCCCTGAAAGAATTCATAATATAATGGATTAACAGACAATAAATGTGCAAGCAAATAAGTAGGTAATGTCATTCGAAATGGTGATACGTTTAGGAAGAAATAAAAGGGCACTAGTTGTGGAATAATGAGGGCAAGGGTATGGTGGTCAGTGAAGGCTTATTTGAGAGGGTGATATTTGAATTGAGACTTAAAAGTTGAGCCACATGATGATCTGTAAAATAAGCATTCCAGGCAGAGGTTATGGTAAAGGCAGACACACTGAGATGGGAACGAGCTCAGTGTGTGCAGACACAGGAAGAATGCTTGGAGCCTTGAGAATGAGAGGGCAAGTGACTTGGGGAGGTCTTGGTGAGGAATTTTAGAAGCCATGCAAGCTTTTAAGCAGGGCATTGACAAGCTATGATTTCCTTGTTGAGAGGATCTCTGTAACAGAGTGAAAACCTAAGGCATTTTGCAATAATCCAAGTAAGAGACGCTAGTAGGAAGCAGCGGAGATGAAGAAAAGAGACTGGACTTAATAAACAGCATTAGATCTCATTATTAGTCACTGTCACCAATAGGCTACAGGAATATGCAAATTAAGAATATGTAAAACAGAAGAATATGACTTAATATCTCTGCATTATCTGATTGTATAAAGATCCTCATATTAATATCTGAACATGCTAAAGAGCTGGGATCAGCAAACTGTAGCCTATGGGCCAAATGCTGCCTGTTGCCTACTTTATAAATAAAGTTTTTTCAAACACAGCCAAGCTACCGCCGTTTATTTATATATTCCATATGGCTGTTTTTGCATAACAACAGCAGAGTTGAGGAGTTGAAACAGAGATCTTATATCCAACAAAGCTGAAAATATTTTCTATCCAGCTCTTTACTAAAGTTTGCAGACCCTTGATAAAGAGAATGATTTTCTATGTCTTTTTATGTAGATTGTTACGAGAGGAATCTGGAATTGAAGTAATGGTATTATCTAATTCTCAGGCAGCTTATTGGCTCTCTCAGGATTCTGGCTTGGTACTATGTTTTTTTTTCGTCCTTTAGTAGCATATGTTTGCTTTAGGGCAGTCGCTGAAATAAAAATTAATGCAAATCAACCATCACAAAGATTATGTCTTAGATTTGGAAGAAACCTTAGTGATCATCTGGTCTGACTTCTTTATATTTTAGAGGAGGAAACTGAACTCCATGGTCCTTATGTCACTAGCTCAGGGCCACAAAGTCAAAAAGCAGCCTGACATGCCTGCTTTGATCTCGCATCCCAATGCTCTCTTCACTATGATGTGCTGAGCTGTATTTACCTCTAAAGGAGAAGGGCTTTTAAAGTAGTGTTGTTATTATGCTAAAAACCGCACTAACAATAATTCTTTAATATCACAAATATAAAGTGTTCGATATCCCCAGTTGTCTCTTACATTTTTAAAGTGAATATGGAGATTTCCTACTTGTCATTGCTGTTGTTAAACAAACCTGGATGTTTGTACTTGCAATTTCCCATAATCTAGATGTATAATTATATCCCTATGTTGCAAAAATTTAAATAGTGATCCTCTAATATAAATGTTTGATTTTTTTTTTTAAAAAGTAACTTTTTATATAATATTGTCTAAAATATGCTCTGTAGCATGTGCATATATGACATACACTCTTTAAAACCGAAGTCAGATCTTACCACTCTTCTGCTGAAAACTTCAGGGGTTTCCCATCTCATTCAGAGTAAAAGCTACCCTCTGCCCCTAGTCTCTAAGACCCTCAAACTAGCTCTCTAGCTTTCTTCTATTATTTAATCCTTCACTCACTGGGTTCCACCAATTGACTCACATCTTGTTCCTCTAAAACCCTAAATAGTTTATGTCCTCAGGAGTTTGACACTGGTGTTTCCCTTTCCTGCAAAGTTTGTCTCAAATGCCCTCATGGATCATTCCCTGTTTGATCATTCCCATGGTCATTTCCCAGATAGTCCCATGACTTATTCCTTCCTCTTCTTCAAGTCTTAGCAAAATATTACCTGCTCAGTGAGGCTTTCCATAACCAACTTATTGCAGATGATCATCTCTGCCAGGCATGTCCCATCTTCTTTCTCTGCATTATTTTTCTCCATGGCACTTATCTCATCTGACACATTATAAATTTTACTGATTTAGGTGACTGCCAGTCTCCTTAGGAGAGAATGTAAGCTCCACGAAGACAAGGCTGTTGTATGTCTTGCCCACTTCTGTATCCCCAGTGGCTAGGACAGTGCTTGCTTAATTTGTAGACATTCAGTAAATATTTGTAAAGGCGTGAACGGATATAGGGAGGCATAATTCTTTGGTAGAATTTTCTTGAAAAATGAACAATATTTACTCTAGATCTAGACCCCAAATTTTTGGCTATTTTCCTGTTCAAGTGAATCAGGCAGGCCAGCCTAGAAGAAAATCTTCAAGTGACCTTAATTTTATCCTTTGAGCCTGGCACCTAGGAGAATGTAGGGTAACAGACTATTACTTGCTGCTTTTCCTTTTTTCTGGACTCCAATCTGGACTTCTTGTTTTCTTAGAGGCACAGCTTTTTCATAAGTCAAAAGGCACCCTCTGCAAAAGAGAGAAAGTGAGCATTAGAGAGCAACATGCTCCAAAGCCCCCTCACCCAGGAATCTTCACATGATCACTTCACCGTGGGAGAGAAGGAAGACGGTATCTATCAACTGTCTGCTTCCTTTTGGAGCATGATTCAAATAATACCTTCTCCCAGCCATTTTTTCCTATTTATATTTACAGCTTGTTGATATTCTGGCTTCAACAAATGTATAGTTTCTTTTCTTTCTCCTATTTCTCTGTACCTTCCTCTCCCGTAGCATCTCCTGTGTGTGATGCTTCTCAGGGTGTCCTAGTGAGGTTTCCATGGTGGGTTAAGAGGGTGTGATGGCAACAACGGGCTTAGGAATTGTCTTCTCAATTTCTAGATAAGAAAAACCGAGGTTCAGAGGGCATAAATTCAAGCTTCCAGATCTTTCACTCTAACACTCTCACATTGTTGTTACCTGTCAATCTCTGTAAGGCTATTTATTGAAATTAGATCTCTATGGATGTCTCACTTAACCTGTGTTATCTCCGATCCTTTTCATATGAATAAACTCTCTTCAAAATTGAGAGTGAGGCTGATAATCACAGAGCATATCAACCTGATTGGTAAGAACATCTTTCACTGACTGGTTCTTCATAGTATGGGAATCCCACAGACCCAGTGCATGTATCATGTAGCACTGGATAAATATTGGTTAGAATGAGAGGAATATTTTATGAACATGAAATATTCAGAAAGAATCAAACTTGTAGCTTCATTTCAGACAGAGAACAGGATATTCAATTTATGATTAAATTTTAAAAGAAGCTTTAGTCAGAAAAATTAGAAAAAGACTCCCAAACTAAACCTGTTAAAGCATTTTGAGCATTCATTAATTCATTTACTCATTTGGGTAAGAAATACTCGTTGAGAACCTATTATGTCTCAAGCATTATTTTTGATGCTATGTGTACAAAATGGCTTAAGCATATTCTCTTTCCTGGAGGAATCCACCTAGTTGGGGAAGCAGACAATTTAATCAACAATTACAACATAGAGTGATAAATACTATAATAAAGGTATACACAGGATGCTATTGTAGCTAGATGAGGAATACTAACTCAGTTTAAAATAGAGTGTTTAGGGAGGTGATTCTTAAGCTCCCTGTGGCAGTTAAATAGAATAGTGGGTGGGAAAACAGGAGAAATGTGAAATTGTTCTTCATGTGTAGGAAGCAGTAGATACAAAGTATAGATGTGCCTTCTGGGAACGAGCTTTTTGGTTGGAATGTAGATGAGTTATGGAGCCACGTTTTGAGATGAGGTTGGAAAAGGAAAGACGGCATCATGGGAAGATCATTGTGATGACTTATTTTCATCATCAAGCTATGGGCCACCTTTCAGAATGTTCATGGCGGGGTGAGTGAAGGCAGAGAGATGGCATGGCCATAGGGATTGGAGCATATGAGAGGAGAGGACAAGAGCAAGGCCCAAATGAAGGTGACAGTGAGTATAGGGGAGAGATTTTAGAGGTAGACTTAACTAGCACTGATGATTGAGCAAATGTTGGAGTGGGCAAGCAGTGATATCTAAAGAGATCCTGGGAAGCACAGAAGCTAAAATGAAAGAGTGTATTAAGAAGGAGAGGGTTAACTGTGACCAAAGTGACATAAAGCTCAAGTGGACTAAGAATTAACTATGGACTTATCAATTAGAAATGAAATTGTGATCTTTGTCTGAGTAGCTTCAGTGGAATGGTTAGAATAGATGCCAATTTTCAGTGTGCTGAGCCAGGAATGGATCCAAATTATGGGGATCTGCAAAATTTTGGGGGTGTCCTTTATAAGGCAAAGAACACACAGGTATAAATTCAAAACCATGTATAGGGCCTTGGAAGTGGTTCACGCAACAAGGGATCCTGACATACAGCTTCATTTGCTTTTTAACACATCTGTCTTTGTGCTGGAGAATGAATAGGTGATGAAATCGTGGTTGTTGGTTCCTCCTTCAAGAATGTTGGCTTTGAAAGAAACATTGAAAAATCACTGTGTGGTGGTAGAGAGCAGAGGGCATAAGAGGAGTGTGTATGAGTGTTTACTTTTTGGAGTGACACGAGAATGTTGGTGACATGACTTGAGGTGATGGAGAGGGGAACAAGAAAGAGAGACAAAAGAGCCAGCATAAAAGGTAGGACAAAGTTCCTAAGGACACAAGAAGTGATAGAATCAAGAGGAAAAGAGGACAAAGGGAAGAATACACAGGATGACACAAATAAGAGGATTCACAGAAGGAGACTGAATGTACAAGCACAGGTGCCCAGAAGATGGTGTCACAAAGCTCAGGGAGGACACTTGTGAAAGTCTGGGAGTGCTGAACAGTTGTGTGGCTGGGAGGGCGGAGATGGACAACCCAGTCCACTCAATTTCACAACCAGAAGTCCGTTGCTGACTTTCATCGAGAAAGTTTCAGTAGAGTGATGGGGATGAAAACCGGATGACGCTGGGTTGAAACCCAAAGAACAGGTTGAAAGTAGGGAAGAAGGAGACAGAGGAAAGGTATCAAGGCAAAGAAAGCCCTGGTTAAAAGAAACTTCTGCCCTTTTTCTAATTTGAAAAGCAATATAAGCGGGTAAAGCATTCATATAATATAGAAAGAAAATAATACATGAAAATTTGCTGTAACTATACTTTTTCAAAATAAGTACTATTAATATTGTGTTTGGTTTTATGCTTCCAGACATTTATTATAAATTAAAATATATACACATACAAATATTTATTTTCTATAAGAATTAAACTTGACATCCAGTACATTAATATTTTCACTTAAAATTACAGACTGATGTTCCTATTAGTACCTGGAGATCTAACTCATTCTTTTTTTTTTTTTTTTTTTTTTTTTTTTTTTATTTATTTTTTTTATTTTGGCATATTATGGGGGTACAGATTTTAAGGTTTCAATAAATGCCCATTTCCCCCCCTCCCCCCAAAAGTCTGAGTCTCCATCATGACCATCCCCCAGATGGTGCACATCTCACTCGTTATGTATAACTCATTCTTTTTGGTGATGCTTGGTAGTCCATTTTTGATCAATCATTATTTGTCTAATCAATCCCCTATGGATGAGCATAACAGTTTTTAGTTTACTGCTATTACAAGCAAGGCTACAATCAACATCTGTGCATAGTTGTGTTAGTATTTGTATATAATTTATTGCTTGAAGCAGATTGTCGGGTCAAAATGTATGCAAATTAATTTTACTATGTTTCCAAATTTCCTCCTCAAAATGTTGTTATTCTAATTTATACTCTTGCCCACAATGTGTTGAGCGCTTGGAAAATCAGGGTTTGATATTAAACTTAACACAGTAAAGAGCTAGAGTGATCATTCTCTAAAGTCCTCTGAATTAGTCATAAATTCTTTGCATAAGTGGCTCAAATATCATAACTACTGATTTATCTTTCTTCAATTGAAACTTTTATTGAAGATGAATTCAACAGTAAACAAATTGTTTCATATTGAATTTTATCATTTGCTGTGATTATTTTTATTACATATGTAAGTAATTTGGCTGCCTCACAGGTTAAATGCATATGCTGTTAGATCTTTAGCGGTGGGAGAGATTTAAAGAACATTAAGAACAAAGAAAATCATTGATCAGAGAGAATGGCTTTCCTCCTCCCACTCCCAGTCATCTTTTGCACAATGTAGAACCCTGTGAAGTGTGGAATCAATTGGAAGCTGGACTTTAAAGGAGCTGGGACTTTGGCATTGGAGGAAGAAGATGGAAAGGGAAGGGACCACAAGGGTGTTAGAGAGAGTGCATTGACATTTTGTGTTGGAGAATAACTATTTCCCTGGCTTCATCTTCCTCAGGATGATTGCTCTCTTAGGAGGCTTCTACAACCTTTAGCGAATAAGCATTACCTGACTCCCAGACGATCTCAGGCATTTCTGAATGCCAGGTTACTTGCTAGGAGGGACCATTGCTACACTATCATACCATCTTTGCACCATTCTCCAACTGCAAGGATCTTCTATGAATTGAGGGAATCATTTATTCAAGTTTGCTTTATTTCTTAGTTATGCACCAGTAAAAAGACCTAGTTAACAGCAAATGGAAGAGTAGATCTTCAGGGAATACCTCTCAAATACCAAGTGTATTTATGTGCCATGTAGTTTCCTTGGTAACTCACAGAATAGGGAGCAGGGAGGGGCTGTGAGTCTGTTCCTGCAGGGATGGAGGGTGGTGGTTGTGGGAGTTTATGGTTTCTTCTCCACATGGTTGAAATACATAGAAAGGTTGCTCTCAACCTTCTTTTGTATCTGTGTTGGTAGAAAAGGAATAACCAAGAGATAGGATTCTTCTTAATGCACAGTCCCATATTCAAATCTTCAGAAGAATAAGTTGTATGACTTACATTAATATTCGCTAAGAGATTTGCTAGAATCTTTTTTTGCATTCTACTACATTAGATATAAGTAGACATTTTAAAGATTCTCTAAGAGAGCAACCAAAATATTTCATTTAGAAAATAATATTTTGTATGAAGAGGATATTGGGATGGGGATTATTTAACCTACAAAAAAATAGATGTAGACTTGCTCAATGTCTGAAGATAGATTTGTTTGTAATTATGTCATTGGATTAAGATGACACATTAAGTTGTTCATGATAGTTAGGGTCACATGATAAACACACACACCCTTCTTCTTCTGTGGGGAAGGAGTATTTATAATAAAAGCAAAAAAGATGAGAATTCCTGACACTTGAAGAACCATAAAAAACTCCTAACATACTGATTAACTAAGCATGATGGTAAAGTCAGAATTGGTACCTTGAAGATTTTCTTTTAAATCTTTAGTTTCTTTTATGACCTAAATGGAGGACTTTTACCCTCATTCTTTGCTTGGTGAAATAAACATCTCAATTCTGGTTTATAATGATCCAGTAGATTTTGGATTATATAAGGCCTCAGTTAGGTCTGTGGGAAGATAGACTGAGAAAAAATATTTTGTTCAGAAAATTGACTGGAACTAGCTTGGGGGCCAGTTCTTGCTTGTCAATCACGTTCTTGTGTTTTCAAGATAATGCATCTGTTTTTTCCTTCTTAGCCCCCGGCGGATAAGTGATCACAAAAATTGAAAAACAACAAAAATTATGTGGAGCGGCAAGCTTAGTGATATTAAACATATGTTGAGAGAAATGTTCCAGCTTACAAGGACTAAGTATTAGGTGTTTATGTGGCAGGTTATACAGATTATTCTGAAGGAATTTAGGTCACCTATAACAAATATTCAATAGCCAGAAAAACATTTCTAGTGTTTTCTTGGTCAAGAGTGTATCTCTTTGTAGGGAGGAATAATATTATTTTCAATCGTTTGAGAACGGGAGCAA